TAGTTGTCTATCTGCACAGACAATGCATTCAGAAGTTGGCTTATAGACAAACAACTAAGGGGTGTACATAAAAAGTGTACAGAATATATGTACACCAAGCAAAAGAATTGATATTATATATGTATAATAGTACTACATATATTTGTATAAATATGTACTCCCTCCGTCGCTTTAACTTTATCATAATTCCTTTTTTTATTGTCTGACAACTTTTTATCACTTATCATTTAATTAATTAATGTGCCTATTTTTTTTTCTTTCCTTTATACAAGTCTCAACAACACATGGTTATACTTTATCATTCTATATGCTAGTAAAACTTGATAATGTTTCTACAAAAGGATTGGAGGGAGTACTATACTACTATTTATATAAAATATGCTCAAATATTATTTTTTTTGCCCCCACAAAATCGATCCTTTTAATATAGACTTTTTGGCTCCGCCCGTATATACTTACATAGTTTCTTATGAACAACTCTAGCAATAGATATTATTAATGAACTTAAATGGAGGTTTATTTGATATAGAAATTGCTTCAAATATGACTACAACAATAGCAAAAACTCAAAACAGGACTTGCTATATTTTTATTCCAAAATAGGACCATATGAGTCCTATTTGGAAACATACCTATTTTTACCTTCCATTCTTACCCTTTCATTAAATATGAGTTAAAAATAGTCAAAAGCCATAATTAAATGTTTAATTCATAATAAATTCGAAAAAAAATCAAAAATTCGTAGAAAAATAATTAAAAAATTACAAAATATTTATAAAACAAAAAATTCAAAAAAAAAGTTAATAATTTTTTTTAAAAAAAATAATAATAAATAGTAAAACTCCATAAAAAAATTTTAAAAAATATGGATGCCTTTCCCACCGCCTGTACTACCTCCCTGCACCACCACCTCCGGTCAGTGAAAAAATGCCATTTTTCCTAAAAACTGCCATTTTTTCTGAAAATGCCAAAAAGTGGCGTATTTCTCTTTGCGAGTGCCAACATTTTCATTGTTTTCTGTCATAAATATGGCATTCATAATGAACTTGGCATTTTTTAACCTGGTGACTGGAGGTGGTGGTGCAGAGGCGACAGAGGCGGCGGTGAATTTTATTTTATTTTTTTGAGTTTTTTATTTTTTTAATCTTTTTGTTTTGAAAAAAAATAAATTAATTAATTATTATTATCGAAATATTTTTATTGGTTTTTTAGTATTTTTTACGGGTTTTTTTTTATTATTTTTTATTATTTTATTATTAATTAAAACATTTCAATAGCTAGAAGGGTATATTTGTCCAAGACACACATAATTAGTCCTATGAAAACATAGTTTAGTTTTTTATCCTATTTGTGCAAAGTGAGTCACTTTTAGCCCTGTTTTGATAATTAACTCTATTTGATATCATATTGAGACAATAGCACATAACCACACGACTATCAAGCTCAAACGGAAGACCATCTCATGTACGTGACAGTGTGGTAATATGTGGTAATACGTGACAGTTGGGTATTAGGATGTATCTAACATGGGCGGATTTAGGGGCAAATTATAAGGTACACCCGGGTGTACATGTACACTCGGTATTTTTGTAATTTTTTACAAGTTTGAGGCCGATTATTATGGAACCTTTGGACCTATGCACCAGCCTCTCCCGAATGGGCAATTGAAGCAATTGAGTTAGAGATCGTTGGAGGAATCCAAAAAACTTTTGGATTTAGTTGATCGTTGGGTAATATGGCTGCACTTAGATTAGATTAGTGGAGTTTGACAATCTTCCATTTTTTCTTCCATTTCTTTCCTTTATTTGAATAATTATAATTTTCTTCTAAAAATTGATTAAATTTAAATTCTGAAAACATTTAAGATAATTATTATCAGATTACATTATTTTGATCACTCTATTTAACTAGTAACGATCTAATAGTTTCATTAAAATTATCTTCTAAGTAGTAATGCTAATCAAATGTTCGTAAAAATTCTGAAGTAATGACTATGTTACATGTGTGAGTTATAGAAATGATTTTTATGTTATACCTATATGAGCATCACTTTCAAAAAAATGAGCATTGGTATAACATTATAAAATGAGTAAAAACAAGAGTTTTATGTTATACCTAAATGAGTATAATATGTACACGAAATGTACATTGAGATAACGTTTTAAGATAAGTGCAATTACGACTGACTATTAAATGAATATTTTTTTATGCTCAGTAGGTTTGATATTATTTAATAAGTTTTTATAAAAGAAAAAAGTGAATTAAAAGATGTGATGCAGAGATTACATATGCTCATTTGTATAGGTCTCATGCTCATTAAAAGTTCAGTAATGCTCATTTCAAAGAAACCGTGATTTTCATCTCAATAGAAAATGTATGATGCTCAATCAAAATGTTGTTAATTATGTTACCCTAACAAACCTTACGAGTTTTCACATCAATGAACATTTTATAAGTTACGCGTGCTCATTTGGTACTGGTGTTATGCTCATTTTAAAATGTTATATCAATGCATATTTTAAAACTATCATATTACGTTAAATTCACATATGGAAATTCATAGGAGTGTATTATAGATATAATTCAATTAGTTTTTATAAAAGAAAAAATAAGGAAAAAAATTGAATTAGAAGATATGAAGCAGAAATCGTTAAAATCATTGCTAGCCTCTTAATACTCAATAAAATAGGTCATATGCTCATTTAGCGGAATCTGTGATTTTTTGCTTAAATTACAAAAATGCCACCGAATTTTTTTTTGCATGTCTTAGTGGTTGAACTGTCTTTCTTAATTGGGCCGACTGTACGTACACTCGGATGCACTATATATTATTCAATTTTTAAAAATGCTTTAAATCTTAAGGTAATAAATTTCATAATTTTGTCTCCAAAAATATTATTTGTAGTTAACAATGCACCCTATTTGCGTTGAATGTGACATCATGAATGGTGTCTTTTTCCCTCTCATATCTTCTATATTTTGGTTATATTTTTCTTATCTTTCCCAAAAACTTTTAGTCATCAATAGCCAACTCCCAAAAATTCAAAGATTGTTTCGATTATTTGTAGATAATATTGTTCTTTGATGGAGTATTATTCATTTATTATTATTATATACTACGTAGATAATAAGGTATTTGCAAAGCTTATCTTCATAGATGATACCCTAAATTGTACGGTCACATCTTACACATGCACATATCTATTCTACCAAGTATATGCATATACTACCTTTGTCCCTTAAAACTTTGTTAAAGTTGACAGCCACGGAGAATAATAAAGTAAAAACTGTGTGATTGAGGTTTGTGCAGAGGAGAGAGAAATGGTAGAAACCGCAAAATATAATTGATTAAAAAGGAAAGTGATAAAATTTTTTGATACGTCACAAAAAGGAAAGATGACAAAGTTTTAAGGGACGGAACGAGTACGTCACATGTGGCTATGTGAGTGCATGAGTGTGTATTTCAGGTTAGGCTTATTACCATACATGGTTCACTCCTAATTCCAGGTCTGTTTCATACACTTTTGGAACATGTTATGTCCAACTGAATAGATAAACTAATAAATTAACCTTACTCAACCCCAAAAAAGTGGAATTGTCTCACACTTCGACTCGATAGAATGGTGGAGCGGTAAATAACGATATGATCTCAAACATTTTTTTAGTGGGACGATTCGGACCCCGATGTGCTCAAGGAGCAACCAGTATGAATAAAACTCGGACATTGCCACTATCGGGAATTAAATCTGAGACCTCAATTCAATTATCTCCCTCGGTCACCGTCAAACTACTCGTGCGGGTTACTAATAAACAACCTTACTCACTTATAGGTGGCGTGAACTAGTCCATCCCATTTATACTAGTCCATCCCATTTATACATCTCTGTCTATCAAGTTTGCATCTCTCGATTATATATTTGTACATTCACTTGCTTAGTAAATTTTATGAATTAATTTTCTTACCTTCGTTTAAATGAGTCTTGTTATACCGTTGTAATTTTTGTGTGAGAAAAGGTCGATTTTCCAAGTAAGGATCTAAGCAAATGAGCTACTTGATGTACTTTTTGTGCACGATTCACACGTTTGTTTATATGCAAAGATATAATAGTGATCTACAAAAAATATGTACAAATTGCAAAGAAATCTTTTCTTTAAATAAATGTATTTTCTTTATCTTTTTATTTTGAGTATTCTTTATCTTTTTATTTTGAGTATGAATTATTTGTCAAATTCCAATTATATTGGTCTGGTCCGATCTACTCTATTTAAGTCTGATCTGCTATGCTTTGCTTTGATTCGGTAAATGTCTGGTTCATTTGTATTTTATAACTATTAAAATCTGGTATGATCTGATCTGATTTGTTTAAGTCTGATATGCACGACAAATTTCCTAAATCCACTAACCATGGTAAAATTTTCGGTGACCAATTCACTTGTATCATCATCTATGTAGCACTAATACAGATACGTGGAAACGCGGAAACGAGAACGGGGACGACATGACCAAAAGTAGTAGGATACGTATATGAGGCCATATTTATAAATATTAAAAGTTACGGGGGTGTATTTATAAATATTAAAAGTTATAGGGTGTATTTATAAATATTAAAAATACATCTTTTTTTGAAAAAACAACTACAGTTTTGAAATTAAAAGTGCAAGTATTCAAGATTCTAGAATAATGAAGATAGAAAACAATATTTTAAAAGTTCTAATACATATTTTCGATTAGAGCTATCAACTTGTAGGGATAGTTAGAATTAGGGATATGAGGATGAGTAAATTAGGAATATGACCATTAGTTGCGTACCACATAAAACAAAGGTAAAAATTATTTTTAGGTTTTCATTTTTAAAAATCCTATTACGTAAAGTTTGGTTTTAAAAAAAAACTTTTGGATTTTTTTTTTTTTTTGTAAAGTTGATACGTGTAGGTCAGGATACGAGTATCCGAAATTTTAAAATAATAACCTAAAAAAATAGAAACTTTTAAAAATTGCACAAACTGCCCAAGAATGTGTGGAATAGGGGAAGTTTCTGTTATATCGATATGGTGCACCAGTGAATACCAAAGGGCAGTCTTAACGAGTAAAAACGACGACCCCTGTAATTCCCGCTCTCTATGACTATCAGCAGAAGAGCTCCTCCCTGATATCTTCACGGCTGCGATCTGCGCTCATTATCTCCACCGCCTTTCGATTTCAGATTTGTCCGCATAACCACTCAGACCTTGGTTGTGTTGTACACAGGTCTAACTCATAGAAGGTAGAAATAATGATATTTACTTATTTTTCATCAATAACCTCTTTTCCACCCTTTTCTTCATGTATTATTTAGGGTTTATAATGAAAATTGAAGTGGACTTTTGACTTATTGATGGATGTCACTCCCCGTGTATTTTCTGATCAAATTTAGCATTTCCATAATTACTTTTGGAAATCTTTATATTTATTTCTCAGTTCTTAAAAATATTTGTATTTTTATATGTCGTTTAGACTTCACCATAGTAATTGTTTTGAAGTGTTTTGTGATTTTGTGTTTCTTGGTAAGACTATCCACTACATAATTTTTGAAAGACTCTGAATTTGTGTTATTTTTCATTTGTCCATGCTGGATCTTTTTATCATGGTAGTTAATACGTAGTAGTTTGTTTCTTATACATCAGGTACATATATCTATGTATATATATCTATGTATATGCACATAGATACAATTATATGCACAATTTGTAATACCTTATTTGAGGATTCTTATCAACTTATGCGTATATTTACATTCTACAAACTAAAGCCAGATCTTGAATTGAAAATCACTAAAATGGGTAATCTAATGCAATCATTGCTATGTTTTTATTTTACGCAATTTTACATAGAAAATCTTGAAGCTTTTACGAACAAACTCAAAGGTATTTTTTACTTGATGAAGGATGAACACTCTTACAATATGTAAACATCACAATGTTTATAAAATCCAAGGAATCATCACTCTTGCTCATTTGGCAAAACATGGGTACTATTTATAGGTAACTTTATGGTGTTTTTTTCCTTTGCATTTATGGTGATGTTATATCATATCTTAGCACATGACTCAAGAGGTACCTGCGTGGTGTTATCCTTATTCTTTACGATATGGTCTATGTATTCTTCTGGAGCTCTTGAGGTGGGAACACTGTGGGGATTTTCTTTTATTTTATATATTAGTAGATTAATAGATTTTTATCTTTCTTATATTTCTAGCTCCAATTTCATGTGTTGATTCATGTTAGCTGACCCCAAACTCTTTTGGGACTAAGGCTTGGATGTTGTTGTTAGTATATATATATTAATAGATCTGAGTTGTTACTGAATCTGATTTGCCCAAATTCTTGGTTGTCTGTGTACTCTGAATAAATTCCATCATACGGGTTCTTGGTTGAAGTGATTTATTTGTATTCATGTATTTCATAACTTTAAATCATATCCTGGAGTAGTTTTTCATATTAATAAATATTATTCATTTGCTTATCCAGTTTGTAGTGTAAGTGAGAAACCATGACTGCCTTAGATGTAACGAGGACAGAACTTGCTCTTGCTGTTATGTATTTGAACAAAGCAGAGGCAAGGGACAAGATATGCAGAGCCATTCAATATGGTTCAAAGTTCTTGAGTAATGGAGAGCCCGGAACTGCTCAAAATGTTGATAAATCAACTAGCTTGGCCCGCAAAGTGTTCCGTCTTTTCAAGGTCAGATATCATGGTTACTTGTTTCAATGATGATTAGTGACTTGATACATTCCTTGGTAGGGCCTGTAACATTGCTACAAGTGTCTAATTTATTTAAAAACTATTTATGCTAAGGACTCCATAATGACCTTTTTAAAGTAAAGTTTGCTACTTTATGCGGTTTTGACATTGTTCTTATTGCTTACAGTTCATCAATGATCTGCATGCCCTTATCAGTCCAAGTGCTCCGGGAACTCCACTTTCTCTAGTGTTGTTGGGAAAGGTAGATAAATGCATTATTAGTGTTTCTTTTAAAATGAAAACCTATTACTCTTTTCTGAAATTAAAGCTTATAATGGTTTCAGTCAAAGAATGCATTGCTATCCACGTTCTTGTTCTTGGATCAAATTGTATGGCTTGGCAGGACAGACATATACAAGGTTATAAGCTTAATTCCCGGGCCTTTGAATATTTATTGGAATATTTTCTATTGTAAAAATGTCATTTGAACTGATTTGGGTTATTGTGATTTTGCATATAGAATAAAGAGCGTGCTGAGTTACTTGGTAGGATCTCCCTTTTTTGTTGGATGGGTTCATCAGTCTGCACCACTTTGGTTGAGGTCCAGTTCTTGTGTCTCTTATAATATTTAACCTAAAAACTGCATTTCTACTAATATTTATCTATGTTTTATGATTGGTTGGTTAATATTTTCTTTAATTGTATTATTAAATTGTTGCTGTTAGTACTGCCCAGATCGGGGAGCTTGGAAGGCTTTCAGCATCAATGAAGAAGTTGGAGGCTGAGCTTAAAAATACTAACAAATACCAGGTTTTGATATTTCTCACTTTTGCCGTAGGATGTGTTCAGAACCTAGAGAACTAGAAAGTGTTATGTATAAAAAGTAGGGGGAAACAATAAGGTAGAAAATACGAAGGAATGATTTTTTTAATTTTTAGAGAATAATGGATAGACTCAAAACTTAATAAATTTGATGTACATAGCGTAGAACTCATATTTATTCATTTATCAATTTATTTCGCTTATGTAGAGACTAAGAAATCAAAGCATGTGGTATTTAAAAAAAATACTCTGTATCATATTTCATTTCCCAAGTAATGCCAAACATAAAAAACATTCCTTGGCATTTTCCCCTTCTCCTAGCATTTTCTGTGATCCTAACGTACCCTAAGGGAAACTACTATGAAATTACTAGGGAAACACATTAGGAAGGAATAATTACCCAAATATACTCATGGAATAAAATTAGGTGGAGGTGACACTATTTCTTAGCATGTAACATTTCGTGTGTTTGTTATTACTGCAGAACGAGCAATATCGTAGTAAACTTAAGAAGTCAAATGATAGATCTGTCGCACTGGTCAAAGCAGGGTTAGACATTGTAGTTGCGGTTGGGTTACTTCAATTGGCACCCAAAAAAGTTACTCCGCGTGTGACAGGAGCCTTTGGATTAGTCAGCTCTCTCATATCTTGTTATCAGGTAACTTGTAGGAGTTTATTACATATAAGCCTTGATTGGATTGGTCAGAATGGAATTCAATTGTTCAGATTAGGATTGCTGAGACTTAGGCTCGGTTTGGTATCAGAAGTCATCTTACTATGCTTTGCCAGAATAACAAGAATATGCATTAAGTGGTGCGCTTAAAGGAGTGTATTGCACTCCAATTCATATTTTCTCCAAACTCTAGTGTTTGTTGATTCCCAGTGTTTCTGAATTTAAACATGGATATCACATGAGTAATACAGAAACCTCAAAATATCTAGTGAATCAGACACGCGACACACATTTTGAACATTGCATGTTGTGTGTCATTGACCAAACATGATGTCGACAGGCTGGTACACACTTCAAATGTGATTTTTTTAAGAAAAATCCTCAAACAAGGCTAAAACATAGGTTAATGCACAAATAGGACCGCCTATGTTTTCTTCCTAAAATAGGACGCATTAACTCCTAGTTGGGGAAGTTTTATGCTTTTCAGAATAAAACATAGATACTCATATTTTTGCATTTTGTCTTTGTTTTACTCCTATTTAGAGCACTTCCTTTTTTCTTTTTGCCCACAATTGAACAGAAATATAAATACATTAATAGATTCTTCTCACAAATTTGTAATTTTATAACCGATAGTGTCCCGCTTTAATCACTCTACTTAGTATGGGCTGTGTGGGTATTCCTTTATAAGGATCATATTTGAACACTTTTTATTATTCATCTGAATTCTGTATGCTTGTAAGTAAAACCAAACGAGGCAAATCTTAGGCTAAGGTGTAAAACACACATACATGTAAGAGTGAAGTAATGTACAGTTGCACGAATGTTCATGATCAATCCCTTTATAATTAATCTTCATTATCAATTTGCAGTTGCTCCCTTCACCAGCAAAGACGAAGATGCCTTGATGAGAGCTGCCAATATTTGTCAAGTGATCATCCCGTCTTTTGCTACAATAATTACGTGTGAAAAAGGGTTGTTTGTTGCTACAATAATTACGTGTGAAAAAGGGTTGTTTGTTGCTTACGTTGCTTCCCTCTGTTGGTGCACATTGTAACATGAGATTTCACTTGCCTCAGTTTTTTAAAATAAATTCTCTTATGTCTTTCTCTCTCCCTTTCTTTCCCATGTATTGTATACTCTGCTATATTTTATTAATAAAATCTAAGAATAAGTTAGAAACATAGACCTTGGTGGTAAAGCCTATATTGCTTAGGTGATTAAGATCTGATTGGATGAGACTATGAGAGCATGAGCTTGAAAACTGAAGTAAATGATTTAGGCCTTCAGGAGAGTAATTGATTTGTATGGATTTTGAAATCTGCCAATTTGAAAGTGTCTTTAACTCAAGAACTGAAGGGTTGCAGTCAACCTGAAGCAAAGAGGAAAAACAAATATAAACACGGGAAATCACTATGTGAGTACGTCAAAGCTGTAGGAGAGTTGGATAGTCATCATCCACATATCACAGATGCTTCTGGACGAAGAGAAGGAACTGCTACTTGAGAAACAATTGAGAAATCAATTATAATTGTTTTTAGGTCAACAATAACTGTTTTTAGGTATTTGGGGACGATAGCTATATCGATGATTTCGAATTCATGTATTGAGTGGATAAAGAGGAGGAAACCATGGCTGAGACATTTATCAAATGCTTGGGTGTATGCTCCAAGAAAGGATGAACAAGCATATCCTTTCTAGATTTTGATATCTGAGGGCGGAGGTGAGAATCGTGTTGGAATGATTTGCTCTTGTTTGTAGTATATAATTCCATCCAAAGCAGGCCAAATCCAAGAGAGTAAAAATTCATGGAAAGTTTGAAGACAGGTAGAATTAGAAGGAACCTTTCATAATCTAAGTTGAGGACAGGTAGATTCTAATGGATTTCTAAACTCTTTTTTAAACGGAAATAATTTATTCCATGTCAGTTTCAATGGATGTACACATGATTTATAGGCCTACCTTTTAAGGTTAAATGTGTGGGATCTCATATGAGAAATTACCATAAGATTGTCCATTTGAGACATAGCTATGATTCAGACATAACAGTGTGGAATCATCATATGAGAAATTACCATAAGGTTGCCTATTTGCAAACCTCGATATTTGAGTTTGCTTCCCCTTGCCTTTTGATAATTTCGCATACTCCACGGGGTGTTGCTCCTAATATGCCTATTTGCGTTGCCGTATCCCATTGAAATCCCCAAGCTAATATTTTTATTACAATGGTTGCAAGTTGCCCACCATTTCTCGGTTGCCGAATCCTTCCACTTTTTATAATTAGTTTTCATAAGGAGAGATTCACCTTTCTTACCGGGTTGGGATGAACCACCCTCGTCCTCGTCGTGGGTGGCATCGTCCGGGATTCCAAAGCTGTCATGTTCATCCTCGGCCGTCGCCGGATCTTCTTCCTCCGCGTAATCATCCTCGAGCTCTTCCTCAATGTCGGGGATGTCATGTTGTTGGTAAAACTGCCCATGTTCTTGGCTCAACAGATGAGCCAGTTGCTCATCGAACATCACAAATCTTGGGTTGTAACTCGTGTCAAAATCATCTCAGCTTTGAGACGAAGATCCGATATGTCCTTTACCTTTGTGTGAAGTAAAATGATTCCTCACAATCTCCTTTCGATTGCAGGTTACCCTAATCTATATAATTTCTACTACGTTCCATCTTAAAATGTAATAAATATTAAATTATAACAAATATGTCAATGTGAGTACAAAAACAATGCAAGTAATAATAAATCTAAGTAATTTGTAACAATACTTGTAATGTGACTTTAATTAACTAAAATTCTAACTAGTTTTATATTTTAATCTAACAAATGTAGTAAAATTAACTAAAACTCGAACTAGTTTTATAGTTTAATTAACTTAAATTCCAACTACTTTTATATTTTAATTAACTAAAATCATAACTAGTTTTATAAATTCATCTAACAAGTGTAGTAAAATTAACTAAAATTCGAACTAGTTTTATAGTTTAATTAACTAAAATTCCAATTACTTTTATATTTTAATTAACTAAAATTCTAACTAGTTTTATATTTTAATCTAAAAATAATTAACTAAAATTCAAACTAGTTGTATAGTTTAATTAACTAAAATTCCAACTACTTTTATATTTAATTAACTAAAATTTCAACTACTCTTATATTTTAATCTAACAATTCTTATATGGTTAATATAAGTATGTAACAAATATGGTTTACTAATGCAATAATGTGACAAGTATATTAAAATCAACTAAAAATGCCTACTCATATTAATATGTAACAAATGAGAATGTAACAAATACTAAAGGTGACAAAATGAGAAATGTAACATTTAACTGATTAAGTAATACTAATGAAAAATGCAAGTTATAGGAAAAATGTATGAATGTATACTAATTAATGGGAGTGTGAGTGTGTAAGCAATATGATAAATTTAACTAATATTAAGTAAAGTGTAAGTAATATATAATATAATGTTTATAGTATATACTATCGTAATATATAAGTATACTACTATAAGATGAGTAGTACACTTATATTTAATACTTTAATATATATACTCAATATATTAATTAGATATAATAGCTAAATATAAGTAAATAACAAGTATATAATAAGTAGATATTAAGTAGATAATAAGTATATATGAAGTACTTGATAAATATAAGTAGATATAATATATGTTTTATAAGTATACTACTATAAGAGAGTAGTACATTTATATTTAATACTTTAATATATATATATATACTTAATATATAAGTAGAAAAAATATGTGTAAATATGAGTAGATAATAAGTAGATATTAAGTAGATAATAAGTAGATATTAAGTAGATAATAAGTATTTAAGTGGATATAATATATGTACTAATGTATATATAATTAGATAATAAGTATATACGGGGTATTAAGTAGATATAATATACTCCGTATGTAATTGAATAGATATGATATATAATTATATATTAATAGATGTAGAGTGAATTGGAGAAGATGAAGATGATTAGAGAAGAGAGTATGAAGAATTGGTGAATAAGTGTAGAAAAATGTTAAGAAAATAGATGTATTAATAGGTTTTTTTACCCCCACCTGACCCCCACCCCCAAACCCCCCAACCCTCCTCCCTATCAACTCTATAGTCGTTGCCAACGGCTAGGAGCCTCCCCCAGCCCAAAATAATTTTTAAAAGAGGAAAACTGTCAAATAGGTTCTTGAACTTTCATAAAAGGTCAATTAAGTCTTTCTATAGGAGGTTCTGTCCGGTCATCGCGATTTGGGGCAGTTTCTGGTGCAATTTTTTGATGAAACTTTTTGAACATCTTATTCACCAAGTCTAGTTTATTCTTCAATTTCAGCTAAAAATTGAGCATCATACCAAATTTCAGCTAAAAAATCAATCGGGAACACATTCAAATTAATTCTTGAATATAATTGTGCATTTTTGCATTCTCGAATTAATTTGAATACGCTCCCGATTAAATTTTTAGATGAAATTTGGTATGAGAAAAACTAGACTTGATGAATAAGATTCTCAAAAAAAATCATCAAAAAATTCCATCAGAAACCGTCCCAAATTGCGACGACCGGACAGACTACAGAGTCTACTATAGGACTTAATTGATTTTTTTATAAAAGTTCGAGAACCTATTTGACAATTTTCCCTTTTTAGAAGCCATTTTTTTTAAATTGTGACTTAGGCTCGGACCAGACCCGACCGGGTCACACTTATTAAGCCCCGGAACCCACCCCTTTACACAGGCGGTTCGGGCCTTAAGCCCGGGCCCGGTTGACTGGTTCGAGTGGGGTCCCAACGGTGCTGGGCTCCGTTGACTGGTTCGAGTCAGGTCCCAACAGTGCCAGGCCGGGTCCTAGGTCAGGCCGACCCGTCCCAATCCACCCCTAGTTCTTTCTGTTTACATTACTAATATATAGAGGTAAGAATCAGATTGGTCCTCGAAATTGCATAAAAAGGTTCAAATAAATCCTTACTGTCCGACCGTCGTCATTTGGGGAGGTTCCCGGTGGTATTTTTTGATGAAATTTTTTGAGCATCTTATTCCTTAAGTCTAGTTTATTCATACCAAATTTAAGTTAAAACTTCAATGGGAATGGCATTCAAATGAATTTTTGAAGGTAACTGCGCAGTTAGTTTCAAGACTTCATTTGAATGTCTTCCCGATTGAAGTTTTAGTTGAAATTTGGTATGAGTAAACTAGACTTAATGAATAAGATGTTCAAAAAATTTCATCAAAAAATTACACCGGGAACCACCCCTAATGACAACGGCCGGACAGAGCCTCCTATATAAAGACTTATTTGACCTTTTTTATGCAACTTTGAGGACCAATCTGATCCTTACCTCCTCATATATAGTACTTTAGCGCACTTTTAAAGGTGAAACGGAAGGAAAGAAAAATATAACTTAAATATACATGTGCTCAAATACAAATACAAATACAAATACAAATACAAATACAAATACAAATACAAATACAAATACAAATACAAATACAAATACAAATACAAATACAAATACAAATACAAATACAAATACAAATACAAATACAAATACAAATACAAATACAAATACAAATACAAATACAAATACAAATACAAATACAAATACAAATACAAATACAAATACAAATACAAATACAAATACAAATACAAATACAAATACAAATACAAATACAAATACAAATACAAATACAAATACAAATACAAATACACTCCCCTAAAAAATCCATAAAAGTATTCTGCAAATTATAACTAATCATCCTGCAATACAAACTCCATTTCCTCATCAGACTCATCATCATCCTCCCATGGATGCATATGAACTGGTTGTTGAACACCACCCAACAGATAACCCAACAAACCCACATTTCTCTCATCCTGCCCGAACAGTCTAGAAAGATCGTCTTCTTCACCGTCAGCCAATGTCGTCAGCATGCACTGAAACATTTCATGGTTGTAAGTCATCGAGAACTTTCCAGATGATTCTTGCTGCTCAAGCATCTGCACATCAAATCCAGGGGAGAGAGGTCTGCCCCCAACTTTTACATGGCTCACACTGTGCATTCCATTATGTGGGAAATATCCATGTTAGAATATTGGGACTCCATACTATTTAAGTTAGAATAGTAATGAAATCATAGTAATTCATGTTCAAGTTTTGAGCTTAAGTTACCACAACACCACATTGTAGTAATGAATAATCATATTTTTGTAAATATGTTTTATTATAGTAATATTCTTGTAAAAAAACCTTTAAGTTATGTTTATTAACTCCTCTCATATTTCAAAACCAATTATTGTTGCTTATATGGTCTATAATCCACGAAAACAGAAAGAATGACATCAAAAATATTGCAGAGATAAATTTCAACTCAAACGTTTCTAATGATGTGAGAAAATTTGGTTATCGTGAATTGACCATGAGAGCCAAACAAACTAAGATCTATTCAGTGGTTGAGTTTATTATTTTATATTTAAGGGAGAGGGATAAACAATTTAACAATTTTATATTTCCATGGTTCGAAAAAATGGCCTAGGTGCTAGGCACAGGCCAGGCGCCCCAATTTCGTTGTAATTGGTAAGAAAAACCGGTCAGGTCCTTAGGCGGTCTAGGCGGCCTAAACAATTCAACAATTTTATATTTCCATGGTTCTAAAAATTGGCCTAGGTGCTAGGCACAGGCCAGGCGCCCCAATTTTGTCGTAATTGGTAAGAAAAACCGGTCAGGTCCTTAGGCGGTCTAGGCGGCCTTGATTAATTTGGTTTCCGGTCCAACTTATTTTCTCCATTTTGTCTTAAAACATCCTTGATCAATAACTATTCTATTCAACTTTTTATATTATTACATTTTCTCCTATTAAACTTATTTTCATATTAGTATATTACTACAATAAAATAAGCTTCACGTGTATAAATATTTTTTAGGATGTATATGAAAATTTTAGAGACTAAAAACCCAAACTTCTTATTTTATATGAATGTAAACACCAGTCACTCCGACTGGCGCTTAGCGTCTTTTAGAACATTGTTTATTTCACAAAATTCTATTATTTCAATTGTAGTTAAGAGATAGGGAAAGTCAAATTCTGACATATAAAAGGTCAGAAGATAGAGAGGTGTTATAAGGTACTTGTGGTCAAGATAGCAGGAATTTGTGGAATTTACTACTAACCAGATATAAAACAAGTCATCCATTTCTTGTGTCTGGACTCTACCTATGAGCTCAATCTGTATAAATCCACCAATGCAAAGAACAGGTTCAGGCAACTTGAATGCCTGCAAGCAACTCTCCTGTACATGGTAAAACCATTTCAGTTTGTCTTCATTATATTTATTCTTGTAGAGCCGCAAAGGCTCCCATCTTTGGTGGGGTAAGGGGGTCGGATGTACACAGTCCTACACCTGTACTATCCCTGTACTAAAGCACAGAGAGACTGTTTCTAGATGACCCATAGTGAAAATCGCGCCGAAAAAGCAGACAGTCTAGTTAGCCATTTTGCTTTATTCCATCATATTTCCGAGCCAAAAAATAGTGAATCACATTCCATCGTTTTCCATCATATTCGATCATTGGACTCCATTGCAAATGATGGATATACTTACGCCAGAACTGTTAAAGCGATGAACTTCAACTACCTGACCATCACTTCCACAACAAATAACTTAATGGGGGGGGGTAAAATTCGGAATTTACACCTAAGGAACAATTTAAACTGTAAAATAGTGGCAGCATAAGAGATGCTTGCAACTGTAAATGTTTTAAACTCTACACTATTTTCTAATGATGTTTCCCATGCTGCGAAAAAGCACCTATCATGATGATAACGACGAGGAAGGTTTTTTAATTCATTATTATAATTGACAAGTCATTTCCATCATTTGCAATGGAGCCAAAGATTCATTATTTTTTGGCTTGAGATTATGATGGAATAAAGCAAAATGGCTCACTAAACTGTCTGCGCTTCTTTGTTATGAAGCAACAGTCAGTCCATGCAATTTTAGACGGGATTTTCACTATGGGTCATCCGGAAACAGTCTCTCTGTGCTTTAGTACAGGGGTAAGACTGCGTACATCCGACTCCCCCTTACCCCACCGTAGGTGGGAGCCTTTGCGGCACTGGGGTAAATGAAAATGAAATGAGATGAGATATTATAATTGACAAGTCCTTTGGAAGCATCCAGTGTAATCCTTTGCTGCAATGCCTTTTGCTGTTTTGCCTGAACTTACAATTTTGTATTGTATAAATTAAACAATTCTATCTTCACTAAAAAAAGGGCCTTGTTTGACTAACGTGCAACTCTCTAATTTTGATGAGATGCCTTTCACGTGAATAATAAACCTAGTATTATAATTTATAATTTACACTTCTGAACAATGTGTTTGCTCAACTAAATTAATCACAAACTAGTATACTTCTATAGCATATCAATGACCTTTTTGGCTGTTTTTCTAAAAATTACATGAAAATAGAGCTTCATTTGATGAAACAAGACTCCTTTTGGAGACGCCTAATCTGATAGGGACCTAGATAGTATTAGTGATAAGAATAAGTCTTTTAATAGTGTATAATAATAAAGGGCTTAGGCCCTGTAACTAAATAGCATTGGGCTGGCCCATAAGGAATATATTAAATATGGGTTGGGGCTTAGAAGAAGGTAGGCAGAAATTAGAATTTGGCTTGGGACTTCGGAGAGGGGACTGCTCGAAGTGTCTCGTTCTGATTTCTTCTCTTTCTTTCTGTTCTTTCCTGTTCAGTTGTAATCGACCATACTTTCATCTTCAATAAATCGTAAATTTTTGCTGCTTTTGTTGAGGTATCTAACATTGGTATCAGAGCGTAGCTCCTGGGGATCGGAATTGAGTAGCGACTTCAGTGAAATTTTCGTTTCAAGTGGTGAATGGTCCGGACGCGAGCTAAAATGGATATTCGCGTGGATAATCTGGAGCGAAAACTACTGGAGGTTCAAGCAGAGATGAAGGAGGAATTACAATCAGCTGTGAACGATCAGCGTTCAGCAATGGAAAATTTGGCGGCAAACTTGACGGCTTCCATGGCCGCTTCGAGTGAACAATTTCGGTCCAGAGCGAGATCGCGATCACCACATCAGCCTCATGTACGATCTTCTAACAGTCCAACAACTTCTGGAGGTAATCCCAATCACTCTCGCATCCAAAATCACCGAATACATGAGGATTGTAATCGATTTACAGTTCAAACTGGAAGGAAAATTGATCTACCTGTTTTTTACTGGAGAGAGTGCGTATAACTGGATTGTGAGGATGGAGAGATATTTTCGTTTGAATCATATCAATGAAGAAGAACACGTGGAAGCAGCCGTAGTCGCTATGGAAGATAGGGGTATAAATTGGTTCATCTGGTGGGAGCATCAAACTGAAAGGAGGAATTGGGAGACTCTGAAGGCATCTGTCATTGGCAGGTTCCAGCCAGATTTAATACAAAATCCATATGGACCTATGCTAAGCTTGAAACAGACTGGGACAGTGAAGGAGTTTAGGGATGAGTTTGAAATGGTGATAGCACCTCAGATTAATGTGGACATGGGGGATTATGAGAGGAATTTTTATCAATGGTTTGAAGGATGAGATAAAAGATGAGCTGAAGTTACATAATTCTAATTCCTTAGCTGAAGTGATGGACAGGGCTCTATTGATTGAGAGTAGAAATGAAGCTGTTTACCTGAGAAGAAAGGAGGAAGACAGGCTATCATGGAAGGAGAAGGCATCTGCAACTACAAGATCTCAGACATGGGTGGATGGATTTAAATCAAAACTAGGAAATTCTTGGTCCAACAATACTGGGAAGAGTGCAGCTAAAAACAAGAGTAACCCACCTTGGTTTACTCCTGATGGAAAGGAGACATAAATAAATCCCTCAGACATCAGAAGGGTGGGGCCACAACTGTCACAGGAAGAATATCAGGACAGGAGCACGAAGGGACTTTGCTTTAAAAGTGTGGGGAAAAATGGAACAAGGAACATACCTGCAAAATAAAGAATTACAAACTCATACTGGTGGAAGATTCTGATAGTGAGGAAGAAGTAGAAGGTGCAGAGGTGGAAATTGCAGCAGAAGAAGTAACTACCATGGAATTTAAGTCCATACAACTTTCTATTATGAGTAAGGAAGGGATGCCCTCCATGAGGGCTTTCAAGGTGCAGGGGATTCTGAAATGGGCCAATGGAGAAAAGCAAGTAGAGGTTTTGATTGATAGTGGGGCTTCACACAATTTCATATCTCAGAAATTGGTAGAACAATTCAATTTACCTTATCACACTATCTCAGACTATACGATACAGATTGGAAATGGTGATAAGATCTCCAATAAGGGCAGATGTGAGGATTTGATTTTGAGTATGCAAGGAACTGTCATCGAACAAAACTCTGGAGTTGGGGGAAACTGATTTAGTCCTTGGTGGCTTGGTATGGAATGGTTGACCACTTTGGGGGATGTGGAAGTCAATTTTCAGAAGCATAGTATCAAGTGGCAACAGTCTGGGATAATTCAGACCATTCAGGGGGGTCCTAAGCTAAATTCTATTGAAATATCATTGAAGACTATGTCACAGATCATGAGGGATATTGGGGATGGTTACATGGTGTTCTGTGAAGGCAGAATAGGAGAAGAGGAGGAAGGCCCTCAGAAGGATCCCATTTGGGAAGAAATCTTGGCTGAATTTCCTAAGGTGTCAACTCCTATACAAGGGTTACTTCCCACCGTAACCATGCTATCAACATAAAGGAAGGAGCAGAAATACCTAACTTAAGGCCCTACAGGTATCCACAATATCAGAAGGATGAGATTGAAAGGATCATCAGGGAAATGCTTCAATCTGGAATTATACATTTGGGTGGAATCAAGGTGGAGCTGGATCCTACCTTTCAGGCGGTTGTGATTGATGTCTCCCAGATAGGGTACCTCGTGGATCGAATTTTAAAACAAGAAACTGTTAAGGGAATCACAGTTGCTAGAACATTGTTGGATGTACTGAATATTCATTGTGAAGCTCTTGGTCCAAATGGGAAGATTTTGCCACTTCATGTGTCCGAGCTGAAGTATTGGGAAGGCAGAGGCGCGAGGAAGAAGCTGAAGGACATGGCTGTTTTGTACTCCCCATGTTAGGGACCCGGTAGAATAAGAGTAAATAAGAAAAGTAATAGCTAGAGTAGTATAAATAGAAGGGGAGTGGGCAATAAAGAGTAGGCTGTGTTAGACTTTTGTCTTGGGACTTGGGAAGATTGAGATTCTATCTCTTTCTTTTGGGGGCTTCGGCCATTTGGGAACTCTCTGTACATCTTCTTCTACTTTGTATAGAAAATCAAAGTAGAGGAAATAAACTTCAACAAAACTAACAAGCTTTCATTAATGGAAGAAGATGTACAGAGAGTTCCCAAATGGCCGAAGCCCCCAAAAGAAAGAGATAGAATCTCAATCTTCCCAAGTCCCAAGACAAAAGTCTAACACAGCCTACTCTTTATTGCCCACTCCCCTTCTATTTATACTACTCTAGCTATTACTTTTCTTATTTACACTTATTCTACCGGGTCCCTAACACCCCACCTTGAGGACAAGGTGGTTGTCAAAAGGGGAGAGTATTGATAGGGACCTAGATAGTATTAGTGATAAGAATATTAGTCTTTTAAAAGTGTATAATAATAAAGGGCTTAGGCCCCGTAACTAAATAGCATTGGGCTGGCCCATAAGGAATATATTAAATATGGGTTGGGGCTTAGAAGAAGGTAGGCAGAAATTGGAATTAGGCTTGGGACTTGGGAGAGTGTCTGGTTCTGATTTCTTCTCTTTCTTTCTGTTCTTTCCTGTTCAGTTGTAATCGACCAGACTTTCATCTTCAATAAATCGTAAATTTCTGCTGCTTTGTTGAGGTATCTAAAATAATCACATCCAAGTGATCCAACTACCTCAACATATGTGACAACAACCTCCTAGAAAATAGACAATTTCTACAGAATAATGACTTTGACGGTGAAAAGATGGGCTGCTTACCACATGACATGCAACACTCAAAATGCATATAAAAGAGAGAAAAGACCTGAGTCATTAGGAACTCCTTTGAAGTATAGGTCCATACAAACTTATCATTAACTGGATGCTGTGTAGGTAACTCCAGACTTGATATTTCAGTTGGAGATTTGGGATGGCCCACTCGAAACCGTACAGACTTTGCTGAGTATATTGGTTTGCCAGGTTGAAAATATGCTGAAGGGAAATTTCAGTTTACAGCAGCCCAAAGTATAGTGGTATCAACAATAATTGCATGAGTAAAAGGTTAAAGAGCCTGCTTGGTAACCCCTTTTCAGCTTATCATCCTTATCAGCCAACTTTTTACAGAATGCTAAATTTTGATGAAATAATGATGTATTTGTGACTAATACAAATAGTGTGGACAAAAACATGACCTCTTAAGTGTAGTGACTATTGTAGTAACTTTTAGTGCCTATTTTTATGTTCAATTTTTACACTTAAGTGACTATAACATTATACTCATAGTCAGTTAGTCACTTCAGTCATATTTTGTCAATAAGTTTATCTCAATATTATTTTTGGAAAAACCTCAATTTCGATTTCACGGGCTGAATTTGTATTGATAAAAATAAGGTTGAGTAATTGTTATGGACGAATTTGTTGAAGATGATCATTTTAGTTTTTCCATATAAATTTTATTTAGTTTTATTAGTAAAATACATTTTGGACCTACTTTTCATTATTCAACAGATTCAGCCAAATTCAGCTGTTTTAGCTACAATTTCAGGCTTTCAGCACATTCAATATATTCATCCATTTCAACATTACCAAACAGGCTCTAAGCAGAAATGGACAAAAAACTAAACATACCTTCAAAAGGTTGTATTCTAAATTCAGTTACAACCCCAAAGTCAGCTTTCAATTTGTATATTAAAGTCTCCGGCACATCAGGATTACGCTGCCCTTTACTGGACCAGTACGACGCTCTACCCATATACGCTTCCCTTGGATATAAAGTATTACTAATACTCTCGTGAGGAAAATTGTCTGTACTAGAAGCCCCAATTGCACGATCAATAGATTCAGTTGGAGATGATGCTAGCAGTGTCTGAGTGGCTTTAAGTAGAGAGGCATAAACCTTATGTTCTGTTCTTGGGGACTCCAGTTTAGGATTGATACATGAGGTACATCCAACATATGATTCAGATGGTCTACAACCTTGTTCAACTACCCAAGCAATGCTTGAAAGATGAGGGAACTTTCTTAGACACACTTTCTTGGAAATCCCGTTTTCAATCACTGCAAATATTTTGATGTTAAAAACTGTCTCATTTATTTAGGTGAGAGGAGATCATGCTAGGCACACGAAGGCTGGAAAGTAAAATTGCAGCTATGCACTAACAAATATGCCATAACTACTAGACTTGACAAAAGGCACCCAAATGAGAACATATGTCATGCATATGCTTATTTTAGGCCGGAAAGTCTCACACAAAAAAAATTAAATGCAGAATTAAATTGCCAAGTAGAGGTTATTGACCGAAATGAAAGGATTTAACGGATGGGTACCAAATAGGAAAGGAGTGAAACTTAAAAGGATAGTGATGAAAAACAAAAATAACCAAAAATAAAAGTATGAATAACCGATGGCAAGTTGGGTGCTCAAGTGGCCGAGCAGATGGCTCAATGGGTGCCTAGGACAGTTTTGGAGCATAGTAGTCAATGGCGAGATATGGCGCGCGCCATATGCGCCATCGCCATGAAAAAATGGTCTCCGCCATAGTGCCATATGTGCCATTACGCCACTCATATATGAGCCATCGCCATGCACCATGAAAATTGCCTTTGAGCCATGGCGATCGCCATGCGCCATGACAACTATGATTTGGAGCAATGCGAGACTAAGTACCTGTTCACTTGGAGTTATTTCAGTATGAGTCTAGAAAAGACAAACTACACTTAAACAAACTAGACCATACTAGTGTAGTCCAGTCCATTAAATTTCAGTCCAAATGCAAGGTCCTAAACATAGAATGGTGAATATTGAATTTTATACAAAGAGCATGGGTTGGAATATAATATACTCCCTCCGTCCCATTTAAAGGTTCCCGTCTACTATTCTCCGGTCAACGTGCATTGTTCTTAATCTTTTACTTTATATATCCAACTTTTATCAAATTTAAATTTTCTTGATCAGGCTATGTAGCAGTTTTAATGTAGTTTCTAAATATGTAAATTTTATTTACTAAAAATAATTCTACTAATGACAGGGACCAGTTAACTTTATGGTAAGTCAAACGTCGTAAACGGCATGGGAACGTTTAAATGGGACGGAGGGATTACCAAGCATTTGAAAAAAATCATTGATCAATAGAAAACAAGAGCATCAGACTCCCTTTAACATAAAATGAGGAAGAAGAAGAAGAAGCAAAGAATAGGGTATAATGCTTACTGAACTGACGCCAAAAACGGGACACAGCTCCAGCACGAACGAGGTCAGCGGGATCAGTTAAGCACAACAGAATGTTGATTATCATGTCCGTTTCAAGGCATTGCATAAAGTCAATTTTAATTTCCATTCCCAATTATTACCAAACAACACCTACCGACAAATAAGATGACAGTAAACAAAAAATCATCATAAGGATAAAAGTATTGTGTGCTTAATGAATGTGGAATCAGGACACCCAAAATAATAATAATATCATAGTGATCACTAAATTTCATTCTTGTTGCATCCTGTATTCTTGGAATTCTTGGAATAAACATAGTCTGTAATTCCCAACAGTTACTCAAAGCACAACTCAAAAATACAAATTATAAAATCTAGCCAACCATCAAAATGACCAAACTCACCAAAGCCAAGCTTAAATGTCATTTTCTGTAGAACAAAATATAAACCTTCACGTAAGCATAAATACTAGACAACCCAGACTAAACTGATTTACTGAACAATAGAAACTGTATTTGTCTTCATGATGCAATTAGCGATTTTTTATAGGACATAAGAAGAATGTAATGAAATGACTGATTATAACAGAGATGCATATACAAATTTTATATAGTTTTTAAAGCATCAGTTTTTCTAATGATAAACTAGCAACTGGAGCACATTAATGCTTCAGATTCCCACGAATTGGAAAAATCTAATATAAAAGAAGCAATTCATCGGCCCAGTAGAACAAATTACCAACAGAGATAAAAAAAATTAAAACTAAAGGTCGACTCTTTCCTTATGAAACGCAAACACAGCCTACTACAAACAATTAATTATCCAGATGAAGCAGATTGGATGAAAAGGATTATAATACGGCCAGCAAATTAACAAAATAGAGGGACTCTTCACCTTTTCCCCTTCAGTCGGATCGAAAGGTTAATTGTAACAGGGATGAGGCACCGGTAGAGACAGAGGGATCTTCCAGTGGCCGATCGGATTTTCACTACTCACCTGCCTGTTGTTAGTACGGAGGATCATAACTATGCGTTCTTGTGAGGCTCAGAGTAAAAGACATTATGTAAAAAATGCCTAGACATAGAATATGTAAAAAATGTGATTTTTAGGGAGTTCCATACTTCCTCCTAAGCAAATGCACATTTTATTGTAAAATCTACTTTCCAATGTTAATGTCAATGGGCCTTTAAAATCTAAGTTTTCAAAGGAGGAGGTCTAGCACAAGGTGTACAAACAGACCTTCAGTTCCACCTTCTGTCACTTCCACCTAAGCAAAAAATTCGTTGTAGTGTATTATACGAGCTTTTTTGTAAAATCACCAAATTGACAAGTGTGAATATTCATCCTTGTAATCAGGACATTAAGTAAACGCAAATCCTTGTAATCACACAGATTCAATACTGCCAGCAAATTATGTAGAATCATTCCCAGATGATTCATCCCTAAGCTTGACTATTATAAATAGGGCTTGTTTCATTCATTGTAAACTCACTCACAAACTCAGAAATTCAGAAAAATTTAAATATTAAGAAGAAGTAATTGAGAGAGTTTTATCTATATATCTATTTCTTAAATCTAGTCTGTATCTTCTTCATTTTATAACACGTCATCAGCACGAATCAGCTCAAACTCTCCAAGAAATCATCTTCCTGCAGATATGGATCACTCAAATGATAAAGAACTATGTCTGATAGACAGCGCCACAACGCACACCATTTTGAGAAATATAATATATTTCTCTCAAATGACTTTAGTTGAGGCTCATTGAAGGCTCTGGGAAAGCATATGTGATGCTCCCTAACGGGTCAAAAATTATTATAAATGACGCTTTATACTCCAGCAAATCGCAGAGAAATTTATTGAGCTTTAAAGATATGCGTCAAAATGGTTATCACATAGAAACCATGAATGAAAACCGAAAGGAATATATTTGTCTTACAATAACTAAATCTGGCACTAAATATATTTGTGAAAAAATGCCAGCATATTCCTCAGGACTATATTTCACATATATAAGTCCATTCGAAATAAATTTGGTTTCTAACACAAAGTTAGATGATCAGAAAAGATTCATGTTGTGGCATGACCGTTTAGGTCACCCAGGCCAGGTAATGATGCATAAAATCATTAAGACTTCACTTGGACACCCATTAAAGAATATCAGGGTTCCATTATTAAGTGATTTTCCTTGTAAGGCCCGTTCACTTGGCAAAATGATAATCAGGCCTTCTATGAACAAAATTGCAACTGAATCACCTACATTTTTAGAAAGGATTCAAGGAGATATTTGTGGGCCGATAGCCCGACCATGTGGACCATTTCGATATTTTATGGTGTTGATTGATGCTTCAACACGTTGGTTACATGTCAGTCTGTTATCTACTAGAAATCTAGCATTTGCTAAACTCCTTGCTCAAATCATACGATTAAGAGCTCATTTTCCGGATCATTCTATAAAGAGAATCCGACTTGACGATGCAAGAGAATTTACATCTCAATCATTTAACGACTATTGTATGTCGATTGGGATTGATGTGGAGCACTCTATTGCTCATGTCCATACACAAAATGGTCTTGCTGAATCTTTGATTAAACGATTACAATTAATCGCTAGATCATTATTAATGAAGTGTAATTTACCTTCATCAGCTTGGGGACATGCTATTTTACATGCAGCAAATTTAATTCGGCTTAGACCAACTGCATATCATGAATATTCCCCAATGAATTAGTAACTGGACAAGAGCCAAACTAGGGGTGAGCAAATAACCGATTTAACCGACCTGACCGAAAACCGATGACCGAACCGACCGAAAAAATCGGTTTTTGGTCGGTTTTCGGTTATAATAAAATAAAAAGAATCGGTTATTCGGTTATTCGGTTTTTATTCGGTTATACTTATCGTTATCGGTCGTTCACCGATAACCGTCCAAAATATATAAGTATATATACTCCATAGTAGAGTAGTCTTCCTGTCCGGAATTCCGGACAGGAACCGCCGTCCGGCCGACGGATTTTGGGGCTCTTCCCGGTGGAGTTTTTTATGAAATTTTTATGGCATGTTCTTCATTAAGTCTAGTTTATCCACAAAAAATTTCAGCTAAGTATTCCATCGGGAAGGTCATCAAATGATTTTTGGAATTTAACTGCGCTAAAAATACATATAAAACGCAGTTAACTTCCAAAAATCATTTGACGAGCTTCCCGATGGAATTGTTTGATCAAATTTGGTATGGATGAACTAGAATTGATGAAGAACATGACATAAAAATTTAATCAAAAACTTCCACCGGCCGATTATGGTCGGTTATGGTCGGTTATTCGGTTATCGACCGAAACCGAATGACATTTTTCGGTCGGTTTTCGGTCGGTTATTTGAGTAAAAATTATTGGTCGGTTATTCGGTTATCGGTCGGTTATTTGACCGACCGACCGAATGCTCACCCCTAAGCCAAACTTAGCACACATTAAGATATTTGGTTGTGCTGTTTATGTTCCGATTGCTCCACCTCATCGTACAAAAATGGGTCCTCAAAGAAGGTTGGGAATTTATGTTGGTTTTGAATCTCCCTCAATAATAAAATATCTCGAACCGATGACTGGTGACTTATTCACAGCACGGTTTGCAGACTGTCATTTCAACGAGACAGTGTTCCCAACCTTAGGGGAAGAAAATAATAAATTAAATCCAAGTACGAAAGAAATTACATGGGATGCAACAGGATTATCACATCTTGATTCAAGATCAAATATATGTGAGCAAGAGGTGCAAAAGATAACCCATTTACAAAATGGTGCCAATCAATTGCCTGATGCGTTCACAGATACAAAGAAAGTGACAAAGTCACATATTCCTGCTATGAATGCCCCTGCCAGAATCGAAATCCCAACAGAGAATTTTGAAAAATCTCTTGCAAATGATTCTTCTATACGCAAAAAGTGTGGCATGCCACTTGGATCAAAAGACATAAAACCAAGAAAAACTAAAAGGCAGGAATTAATCTGTGATGCTAAAGAAGTTCATCCTTCTGAACAAGAAAATGAACAATTTGAAAATACTGGCATAGAAAATGATATTGACAAAACAAACATCTCAAATGATGATCCAACTTCCTTAAACGAGGAAGATATTCCAGATAATGATAGAAACGTTGATAATTATGAAATTTCAATATACTACGTTTCTACTGGAATACAATGGAATCGTAAAGATGTTGATATTAATAAGATATTTGTCTATGTCGTTGCCACAAATGTTATGAATGAAAACAATGACAATGAGCCAACATCAATAGAAGAATGTCGGAAACGACATGATTGGCCAAAATGGAATGAAGCTATTCAAGCTGAATTAAAATCACTTGAAAAACGTGATGTTTTTGGATTGATAGTCCCTACGCCAAAAAGCGTAAAACCAGTGGGCTTTAAATGGGTATTTGTGCGTAAACGCAGTGAGAAGAATGAAATCGTAAGATATAAAGCCCGACTTGTTGTCCAAGGTTTTTCCCAAATGCCGGGAATAGATTATGAATAAACTTATTCTCCAGTAGTTGATGCAACTACATTAAGGTTTCTCATTGACATGTCTGTTTTTGAAATGCACAAATGCGCCTAATGGATGTAGTGACCGCATATTTATACGGTTCACTCGATACAGACATTTATATGAAAGTTCCCGGTGAATTTAAAATGCCCGAAGCTTATAGCTCGAAACCTCGAGAAATGTTTTCCATTAAACTACAAAAGTCATTGTATGGACTAAAACAATCTGGACGAATGTGGTATATAATCGTCTCAGTGAATACCTTCTTAAAGAAGGATATAAGAATGATCCAATTAGTCCATGTGTTTTCATTCGGCGATTAAATTCGGGATTTGCCATAATTGCAGTATATGTTGATGACTTAAACATTATTGGAACTCCCGATGAAATTGAAAATACTGCAGAATATCTTATGAAAGAATTTGAAATGAAAGATCTCAGGAGAACCAAATTTTGTCTCGGACTTCAAATTGAGCATTTGAAGAATGGAATTTTCACCCACCAATCCAATTACACCAAGAAAGTGTTGAAGAGATTCTATAAGGACAAAACTCATCCTTTGACTTCACCAATGGTCATTCGATCTCTCAACATACATGATGATCCATTTCGTCCCCGAGAAGTCAATGAAGAAATACTCGGGCACGAAGTACCATATCTGAGTGTTATTGGAGCGTTGATGTATTTAGCTAATAATACTAGACCAGATATTGCATTTTCTGTAAATTTATTAGCTAGGTACAGCTCATGTCCAACAAGGCGTCATTGGAACGGGATCAAACACATATTCCGTTATCTCCGCGGTACAGCTGATCTCGGTCTATTCTACCACAAAGATGAAAAAGCCGCTTTAATCGGATATGCAGACGTTGGATATTTATCAGATCCTCAAAAGGCCAAATCACAAACCGGGTACGTATTTACTTATGGTAATACCGCAATCTCATGGAGATCTATGAAGCAGACATTGACAACGACATCATCAAATCATTCTGAGTTGATCGCACTATATGAAACCGGAAGAAAATGTGTGTGGCTACGATCTATGATTCAACACATCCAAAATGAATGTGGTATGAAGCCTATTACTATTCACCCTACTGTGATCTACAAAGACAACACTGCATGCATAGCTCAAATTAAAGAAGACTACATCAAAGGATACAGAACGAAACACATATCACCAAAATTCTTCTCTACTCATGATCTGGAGAAAGAAGGGACGATCAACATTCAACAAATCAGATCCAATGAAAATCCGGCTGATCTCTTCACCAAATCTTTACCCTTGAAGAAGTTCATAGAACTTGTACAGAAAATCGGCATGCGTCGTCTTCAAAATTTAGCCTAAGTTCAGGGGGGGTATTTGAATGCACTGCACTCTTTTTCCTTCATCAGGTTTTTATCCCACTGGGTTTTTCCTGATAAGGTTTTTAACGAGACAATACATCCAAATACAACGACATTATAAGTCGTAATCTCTACCCCTTTATTTTTACACACGTTATCACAATAAGTTTTTAAAATTCCAAATACATATTCAAGGATGAACATTCAAGGGGGGGTGTTGTAAAAT